TAAGATACTCATATCAAGTGCAAACAGTTTCAGCGGAGCTGTTCTAAAGCAGCCCCATGTACTCACTGAGTATCTAATAGTCACTGATAGTTGAACAAATGCAGCACAGTTTAAAAATGAACTATACAACTCAATTGTCAGGATTCAATAAAGGGGCCTATGACCTAAGACACAAGTAATCACACCAAAACTCAGCTCCTTGAACTAGCTGACTTCACAGGTTTTTTGTTTGGTTTTGGTTTTTGGTGTTTTTTTTTTTTTTTTCAGTTTTCCCATTTGCATTTTTCTATTCCCTTCCTACACACCCCATCATTTGACACTCTGAGAAAAGCTTCAACACAGGCCTAGAACCCTCACCCTCATATTTCCAGTCCTTTAGTTGGCTCTCTTCCATAATTCAGACAGCACTTTAAATCAGTGTAAGAGCTGAACCCTCCTTCCTTTTCACAGCCTAAAACCATGAGATGGATGGGGCCAGCAAATGGCATAATGGTTAAGTTGCTGGTTACTCCCACGTAGTTGACTGCAATTCGAATCCCAGACCAGGTGGCTCAAACTCCTGCTGGGCAAGTGTGCGTGCATGCCCAAGATTCCAAGAGGAGAATGGAGGAGAAGGTACTGCAGCGTGGCCATCCCACATTGAGGGTGACTTCTTGCTTTCAATCTCTCTGTCTCTGTCTCTCCAGTGAGCACATGCGCCCTATAGCAAAAATCTCTCCTAAAAATTTTTAAAAATTAAAAGTTAAAAAAAAAACCAGATACAGTAAGAAAATCATTTTTTTAATTAAAAAACAAAAAATCAGATAGTCACTAACACTACCATCAAACCCCAACACTTCAGCAGAGCAGTGTTCCTTCTCCTTTAATCACACTGGCAGAGGACAGCATTTGTGAGAGCAGGGATGAGGAAGAAATAATTAGGTCTAATGCCACATATAAGGGAGGAAGTCCCATATTTCCTACTTTTTTTATCTCCCCAGCTCACGATCCAGACACTCTGTACTCACTGACTTAATGGATGAGCAGATAAGAGAGCATATGTGGGCACAGAGGTGCCTCTGAGCCAGAAAGCAAATGGACAGGAGGAGTGTCAACCCAATGCCAGCTACCCCTACCCTCCCATGGCTTGTCTGGGCTTGCCCAGCATTGTCCTCCTGAGGGTAATGCTAAATTGCAGAGGCCTCCTAGGTCCGCCTTTCTGTCACCACCCCACTGCCCTTGGGAGTTACTTTCTCCCCAGTTCCCTTGCTGGGGCCTCTGTCCTGTTTCCTTCTGGCCCTCTTCCTCCTGCTCCAGATCATGTTTCCCATAACTCTCAATTATCTCATTTTCCCCAGGTTTGAACAGTCCTCCACCTATTGTTCTGCTTCCTATAAATTAGTCTCCAACCTACACATAAACCCATTCAGCAGCAGGTTACACAAAAGGAGAATCTGCACCTTTACGGAACTATGGTGGCTTGATGACAAACCCCTAAGAACAGGCTCACTTTGGTTAAGCAAGCTTCATCCCCTAATTGTACATAATTCAGTCTTTATAGGGACAGCAAAATCTAACTTTCAGACATTTTTTAGTTTGGGATGAGAAGAGTATTGTGATAGTTTCAACAGCTCCCCATCGTACTCCCCCCACCCCACCTAACCACAATATATTCATTTTATCAGAGCCAAAGAAAATAAAAGAAGGAATCGTTGGAGAAATTCTTCAGTAAGGTAGTCTAGACTCATTTAACACCCTTCTATTCCCTGACAACACACACACACACACACACACCACACACCCAGTGTTCTAAGGCCTGTGACTAGAAACAGACTCCAGGTTCTTCCCATCAGGACAGTATTACGTCGCATGGTCCCCTAAGACAGACGCACCCAGCATTTCTCCCTCCCACCTACTGAGACGGGTGCCCCCAGTGCCCCCTCTCCAGTACAAAACAGACGTTAAGAGTCTCCCTCCCACTCCCAGAGAAGGGCACACACTAATGCAAGTTTTCCCACAGGCTTTCAAGAGAAGTCTCTGCAGACTATGCCAGATGGTCTTTTTTTTTCCTTTCATGCCCTCCTGGCCCCTTCTCCACTTTTCATGGTCCTCTAACTCAAAGAACACGATTATCTGCCTGCATATGTCCCCTCCCCCCAAGCCTGCCCTAAACATCCTCCTCCCAAGCCAACGTACAGCACAGAAAGGACGCCAGGCCAGAGCAGTACAGGCTGCTGCCTGGCCTCCTCCAGGCTCAGGTATGTGGTCCTAGGCTGGGCAGCCTTAGCCAACTCTATTGCACCCAATGGAAATCAAGAGTCACCAAGATGGGGACAGCTAACAGCTAAAAGAAGTGACAGTCCTTCAGTCCAGCTGTCCTCAGGGAGGTGTGCTTGGACAGGCCCAGGGCACATGTCCTTCCTCCTCCCCAAAGTAGTTCTCAGAATCAGAAGAAGCAAGGAGTGGGGCACAGCCTCTTAGTCCAAGCCAGCAGACTGACCATGATTCTTGGAGTCTGGATCCCCCAAAGTTGCACACCCAGCCCTTCATTCCAGCAACTGGGGATGAGCCAGCAGCACTGAGGGTGCCCTTGGTCTGTTCTCCACGGTATTTCAAAGTTTTAACTTTCCTGGGTGACTGATTATTCTAACTTTAGAGAGAGCGAGCTCAAGGGCAGAGTGTACAGGAAGGGGAATAGAGGAAGGGGGAGAGGAGTGAGAATAGGAATGTTACTTTTTAATCCTTAAGGAACATAGAAGGATCCAATTTGTGACTCAACTCTGGGGAGCTGGAATGGTAGGGAGTGGGGAACAGCTGCGGCCCCAGTCTAAGCAGTGGCCAACATCCTCAGGCCTTAGCAGCAGTTGTGATGTGATTCACCTGGAGGGAGGGCCCTATCTGCCCACACTGGGGCTGCTCAGGGCTTCCTTCCAGACACACAGGGCATGGTGAGCAGGTTTTCCCCTGGACCACTGTGAAGGCTGAGACTGCGGGCCAGGTGTCCTGGTCTGCCATAGGCCTGATAGACTACGGAGGACAGACCCAGGTGCCTTGCCTAGACCTCCTCTCCCTTGCTAGTCCATTTCTTGGCACAGTCCTGCAGCATATCAAGTATCTCTGCCCTTGGAATCCCCACTTCCTTGTTTGTTTCTTTTTTATTTTCCCATAAGCCATAGCCTTACAAGTTCCTAAAAGAGCTGCCCAGCCCCCCAGCACCTCTCTTCCAGCTATGTCTGACCCCATCACTGCAGGCAGGTAGGGGCAGTGGACAGGCAGAGGGTCTCTAGGAATGTCTCCCCTCTACACAAAAACACATAAGCGGGGCAATCCAAGGAAAGCTTCATTTATGAAGGATTATTTGTGAGGCTTAAAGTCTACAGTGGAGACCAGCAGTTGGCGTAATGGCTATGTCACTGGACTCCCATGTAGTCAACCGTGGTTCAACTCCCGGACCCGGTGGCTTAAACTCACGCCGGGTGCGTGTGCATGCATGCCCAAGATCCTGAGAGGAGAATGGAAGGGAAGGGATTGCAGTGTGGCCATCTCCCTTGGGGAATGATTTCTCATTTCTGTTTCTCTGTCTCTTTTTGTCTTTCTGGTGACTACACGCACAGTACAGCAAAAACATCTCCAAAAAAAAAAAAAAAAAAAAAAAAAGAAGTGGCTACACACACGTCCAGGGCCATCAAGTGTACTGCTGTGGACCATCAAGCAATAACACTGATGCAACCGTGGACACATTCAGGGAGCCAAAACTGGGGACATGGCCAGTGCTTGCATTGGCAAGCTGACCTGAAGTTAATCAGAAGGCCCCCTTATTGTTTGCCAGAATACAAAAGACATTCTGTTCAGAAAGTTCAAGAAGAAAAACCAAAGAGCCAGAACAGCAGCTGTTCCCTCATCCCACAGTGAAACCAAAGGCATCCACGAAGTTCCCTTTGGCCCGGGAGCACATTTCGGACATAACATGGCTGAAGTGGACGCACTTCTGCTGGGTCTTCCCAGCAGGGAGTGGCTGCTGCAAACGGCCTCCTCAGAACATCAGTGAGGACCTAGCTACCCCATGGTCTGCACACTGCCTTTCTGGGCCACATTGAGCTCACCACACACCACTCCTCTAGGTCAGAACAAGTTTTACCAAAACTCAGCACAAAGCAGGAGTGCCCAGCGTGGACACTGCGGGCCCTAAGATCTGGTTACAGTGTGAACCAAAGGAGTCCAGCCGGCACTGCCTCTGTGCCTTACCTCCTAGCAGCTGCAGTTGAGTGCTCCCTCAGAGACATCTGGAGAAGAAACCTCTCTGCAGGACCCCCAGAGCAGGGCAGCGTCTCCCTCACCTCTCAGGAGAGGCTGTAACCCATCTTGTTAGTGAGGGAGGACAGCGTGCTTCTTACCAAGCTATCTCGTGGGGAGAGACACCAGCTCAGCTTTCCCTATGGCAGTCTGTCTGTCCTAACTACTGCTGCTGGGGCACTTGGAACTCACCACAGGCTCCTCACTGAGCTTAATTAGCTTTTCTTTTTTTCATGACAAGTCAGACAGAGCAGCACCAAGAGACAAAACAGACAGTGTTCACTAAGACCAACCAAGCCACTCAATTGAGAGAGTCTGGAGTTCCCACGTAAGAACTACAAACACAGGGCTGGCGTGATAACTCCGTTTTTCTTTATAAAAGCTTCTTCCCGTAACATGTATATACATACACACACACACACACACACACACACACACACATATATAATCTCCTGTGCCTCTGTACTACATAAAAGTAAAAAGATGCTTTCTAGAGTGAAGTCTGAACACCTCTGATTCAGCAACAGTGAGATCAGCACGATCTGCAAAGTCCAGAAAATTGGCTGCTTCCCTCCTCCGTAAACTAATAGAATCCAACTGTCGGAGCATGACATCATTCCAGAGCCCCAAACCCTGAGCGCAGAGTGCAGACACTCCCGAGAAAACAGCCGGGGACCGGGACCAGGCCAGGAAAGAGGCGACGGATCCAAGCCCCGCGCTGCCCTTACCTGGAAGTCGCGGTGCTTCCCTGCCCACTCCATTCTCGGCAGAGTCTGGCTCACACCGGGGTCGGCCAGGGAGCCCAGGGCCCCCAATCCACTCGCTTAAGCTCCACTACCTGCTGCGAGCTTCCCACAGCTCCTTCCTCTGACCTTTCCAGGCGCTCCTTCCAGCCAAGTGAGCAGCGCGCTACGAGCCGGCCAGGCCGGTTGTCATGGAGACCTTGTCCTTGCCGGGCGGCAGCACGCACGCGCACGCTCTTGCTCTCTACGGCGGCGGGCACGCGCGCACACACATGTCTTCTCTTTCTCTTTCCCCTCCTCCTGCTGTCTCTAATCTCTCTCCCCTTCTCTGTTCTCTCAGTTCTGAGAGGCTTCCATGGGACAGCGCCGACTTCGGAGCTGCTCAGCTTGCAGGCATTCCACTCCTCTCCCTCCCTCCCAGTCTGACACCGGCTCACTGCTCCTGGGAACTTGCTGGAGCAGCTGAGGGGAGACGGGAGAGGGGAGAAGACAGTGAGTGGACTTGTTTTCCTCCCTTCCAGTGTCTCGCTTTTTATAACTTGGAAGAATCCGGTGGGGGGAGGGAGCTAGCTGGAGGCTTTAAGGGGAAACCAGCCCTTCCTCTGGGTCCTGAGAGTGGGTAGGAGGGACCCTGATGCACTGCCTTGACTTGTTTGTGCATCTGGGATTTTCCGGGCTGCAGATGAGGCGGAAACGCATTCACATCCCAGGAGCACTGCTCGCCTGTACTGGCCTCTCCGCTTACCTTGCTGCCTGTCTGGTCGTAGCGATGGCTCTAACCAGTGCAGGGGCTCATGGCACTAGAGCTGGCACCAAAGCAGTCTTGCATCTTCCTGAAAGGGAGAGGAAAGACACTAGGTCAGACCAGTGAAAGTATTACACAAGCCAAGTCACAGTCCAGGCAACAAACAAGATACAAATGCAGCCTCACCTCTGCCCTGCTCAGGGCCTGCAGCTAAGCCCAGGCTTGGTGTGAGCTGCTGGCACAGGCAGTAACGATACTGCTCCTCTCCAAAAGCTAGCACAGTGCCTGGGACACAGCAGGCCCTCTAAGTTTAGCACCCCACACACACGCACCCTGTTCTTTTACATGTTTGATCCTCATAACCTTTCGAAACTCACTAACAATTTCTTTTGGTTATTTGCTAGAGGGTCCATGCCAGAGAGAGAGGGAAAGTGAGAAAGCACCCCCTATGGGTCATGGTCACATTGTAATCCTTTCTCCTTTTCTCTTTTCTTTCAGGATTTTGGACACACGTGCACACGTGCTTGTATGTTTCTTAAGCAGACAGTCCAAGACTTAAATCCCACAGTTGGCCATGTGGGACCAAGCCACCTCAACTTGACATTACACCACTGGCGGGCTCTGGTCAAATTTTTTATGACCATTTTGTAGATGGGAAAACTGAGGCTCTGAGAAATCAACTGTTTGATCCACAGATACATGGTTAGTTAGGCAGTCCAAGAACTAAGGGAAAACCAGTCAAATGCCCTCTACTTCAGCGTACGTTCCACGAAAGTACACTGACACTTAATCTTGAGAACTAGCTACTTTCTGAAAACCAGTTATGAACTAGAAGACTGGGTTCCAGGGAAGGGTGGAGAACTTTCTGAGTCATGGTGAGGTAGACTTGACCATATCCTTCTAGCCTAAAGACAATGATAGGCATCTATGAGGTGCAGTCTGCGTGCTAATGCAGATTAGAGAAAAAAGTCCTGCCCTGTAACTATACTACCTTACACTTTTCTAAAATACTCTCACAAATCTTGACTCATCTGTTAAACATGACAGACTTGACAGCTGGCACTAATATTATTATTTAACAGATTGGAGGGGGAAAAAAAACTAAAACAGAGGTAAAATTATTTGTCCTAGGTCACAGAACCAGGAAATAGATATAAAAACAGCACCTCAGCCTTTCAACACTCTTGTGAACATTAAGCAGAGCAGTTGCAAGAGCACCAGGCAGAGCAGAGGTCAGGAGACCTTGGCAGTGACTGACTCCACCACTAATGGACCACATGCCACCAAGCAAGACATGTGACCTCCCAGTTGCCACCTATAGAACCCACTGGCAGGGCTGAGATGAGCAGCCAGAACCACTGAGTGTGCCAGCACTCTCAAGTCAGGCACTGAGCCAAGAACTACACTCAACCCGGCAGCTCTGCACCAAAGACAGACAAACAGAAAAATGCTAGGGCAGTTGGTATACCCCAGGATGAGGACACCGAAGCTCAGTGTTGCTCCCCAAAATCCCAGTCCAACAGGAGATGGCAGGGCAATGCAAATCCTAAGTGGCGGGCATAACTGCTTGAGTGAATCGACCAGAACTTTAAAGGGGGCTTGGCCAATCAGCCACTCTAAAAGCTCAACCTCACCCAAGTCCCCCTTCAGGATTCCCTCTTGGACCCTCGTGTCCCATCTACAGAGGAAGATGATAGGGAAGGGCAAGAACAATACCATCAATTCACTAGACTTCGTCTTCCTACGCCCCCCATAGGCATCCTCTGATCCTCAAAATGCACACTCTGCTTCTCAGTCTCCATACTGAGTAAAAAAGGGTGATCCTATTTCTAAAAAGATAACATCCCCAGTGTAAGAGTAACGCTAACGAGCAGTACTGAGCACCCATCACATGGGCATTCTTTTATGCAGCATGAGGGGCCCGAGGTCAGGGCTGAGTACTCAGGCTGATACTAGTCAGTCACTAAAGTTAGCCAAATTTTAAAAAGCCACAGAATGCAGGCCATGCTCCCTCTAGTGGCATGAAAGAGTTACAGAGGTTCCTTGTAAGGGCCCCATGAGTGGGAGAACTGGAATCCTTGCTGGGTCATTCTATTGTATTGGAGCTTGGCAGTACCAGAAGACAGCTGAATCCTTCCATTTCCTCTGTAAGGCTGGATTTGGACCAATCCTACTTGACCTTCCTGAAAGATAAGGATTTTATAGTCTTATGCTATAGAACAGAGAATAATCTGTTAGAAGGTCCATATGCATACCTACACCAGAAAATCCTTCAATCTCTCTACCTCTTTCTTTCCACGGCCACTCCATTTACCAACTCCAAACACTATTACTTCCAAGACAGACCTTTGATCCGTCCATCCATTTTTTTTCCACCTGGTTACTACCCTTCTCTCACCTTATTATAAAACCTAATTGCCCAGCTTCCAGTCTTCCTCACAAATGCCCTCTCCATGGAACTGTTTGAATCATCTTTTTTACACCAGATCAGGTCATTTCCTGCTTAACATACTTTAATAGCTTCCTGCTACACTTAGGGTAAAATCTAAGCTCTTACCAGGACCTACAAGGCCCAGCATGATTCCTGCCTCCTCAGAACACTTAGCTGTCCTTCCTCTGTGCAGGCCACACAGAACTTTTTTATGCTCCCTCAAAGTGACCGAGTTTTTCTGGGCTGTTTCCCTTTGCCTCGGGCATTCTCACACCTTTCAGCTCTTGCCCGGATAAGGCTTGCTCACCTTGCCTCGACTTGACTTGCAAGTTCCTTGACTTCCACAGTCCCCCATTCTCAGTGAGGTTCCCCATACTTATCCTTCATATCATGGCTTATAATTATATGTTTGGGCAATTATCTGCTTAATGTCCATTTTTCACCATGAGTTCCTAAGAAGCAAGAACTTTGACTATTTTGCAACTACCATATTCCCTATGCTTACTACAGAACCCAGCTCACAGTGGGCACTCAATAAATATTTGTAGAATGAAAGCATAAGAACCCATTCCTTCCTGTCCTACAGGAAGAAGAAACTTAGAGCGGCTATTTCATGCCACTCATTGTATCTTTACATAGACTTACAAGTTATAATTACATCTCTTTTCTGCTTGTGCCTTGCCTGTGGGCTCAACCAAAAATTCCTGTAAAGGCTCCCTGTGGTTTGTTTCCCAGAACTTTCCTTGTGAGGTCATTCTCCGGGGGATGCACTCCAGGGTTTTCCAGCTTCTCCCTTTACCAGAGTGCCCACTCACAGGCCCTCCATCACCACTGTGTCACTGCCAAACCAAGCAGGCTGCAGAGATGGCCCAGTTCCCACAGTGACCTGGGTCTCTCGGGTCAGCTCCATCTGGGGACGAAACATTTTCTCTCACCTGCATTGTACAGGTCACGGTGCTCACAAAAAAATACATTTTTACAAAAACAAACAAACAAAAAAACACCATGTTTTATAACCTGGAGATGCATAGGTTTAAAAATAAAGTTCCATTACTAAAAAAAAGTTTTTGAAAACTACTGAAGGCCTAAAACACAGCTACGGCAGTAAGTCCAGCACCCCTCACTACCTTCGTGACCACGAGAATCTGAAATCCCTCTGGCTTCATGCCTTGCCCACATCTGCAGGGTCATCATCCCCCCATTACAGACACAACTCCATGGCACTTTGAAGAGTTCCTGCATTTTCCTCTCCCTCCCTGCATCGCTCCATGCTGAATGCCTCTCCCTCCTCAGCTAATAAAATCTTACTGTCTTCAAGACCTAACTCAGTTATCACTGCCTCTGTGAAAAATTTCTTTGCTTCCTGGCAGAATGTTTGTCTCTTCTGCAAGCCCACAGCGATTCAGAGATGCCTTTATTATAGTATTTATATCACTTTATCAATGTTACTTGCCTGTCCTCCCCACAGGACTGAGCCCCTCGAGGTGCATGCATTTTAGTGTTCCGTTCATTGCGAGCATGAGATACATGTGGGATAAAAGAATCACTGAGGCGAGGACCAGCAGTTGGCGTAATGGCTATGTCGCTGGACTCCCATGTAGTTGACCATGGTTCGAGTCCTGGACCAGGTGGCTTAAACTCACGCCAGGCATGTGTTCGTGTGTGCCCAAGATCCTGAGAGGAGAGAAGAGATTGTAGCGTGGCCATCCCCCCAGGGGGTGATTTCTCACTTTCTGTCTCTCTGGCAAGCATATGCGCCCTATAGCAAAAACCTTGGGATCAGCAGATGATGTAATGGTTTCATCACTGGATTCCCATGTAGTAGGCTGCGGTTCAAGTCCTGGACCTGGTGGCTTAAAACTCACACCAGGCACATGTGCGTGTGTGCCCAAAATTCTAAGAGGAGAATGGAGGAGAAAGGATTGTGGTGTGGCCATCCCCTGGGGGTAATTTCTCCCTTTCTGTCTCTCTGTCTCTTTTTCTGTCTCTGGTAAGCACATGAGCCCTAAAGCAAAAATCTCTCTTGAAAAAAAAGAATCACTGAAAAGATTCTATCAATACAAACAAAGGAAAACAGCTTTTCTTTCCATAGGGTGAGGGAAGTTGGATGGATGGATTTACACTGCACTAAGAAAATATATGAGAGAATTCCAAAGAGTTCATGAAGAGTGTGTATTATTAAAAAACAAAACTATGCATTTCAATTTTTTTTTTTCACCAAAATAAACCCATACTTTAGACCCAGCCTTTGTGGCGTAGTTGGTTTAATTCAACACTGCAGGGCTGGAAGCTACAGGCTGACCACGGTTCCAGTCTTCAGCCAGGTGGT